GACATTTGATTATGAGAATATATTCTTTTTTATAATAAATTTAGTGTTGTTTTAGCCTTTTGGGTAAAACATTTCTCCAATAATTTACTTTTAATTAGTCATATCAAGCTTAATGTAATTAAAAATAATTTTACACCATTAGGGAAAAAATAGTTAACTCTTGTTTAATAATAAAAGAGTGGATCCCATGTAAATTAAAATATTATTATGTAATGAATTATTGGGCAATTATTTTTTTTTTAATAAATATATATATATATTTAAACTAATTGATTTTAGAAAGCAAACTGAGATTTTTGGACTTTACGAGACGGTGGATTCTTAGGGAATAATTTAGTAATTAAAGGTTGTTTAAATGATTAATCACGCTGAATTTACATATTTAAAAAAAATTTAGTTAGAAGGTCGCTAAAAAATGTTGACCCTCCACCCGTAGAAAATCAAATATTAGCTAATCCTATTCCTTCCAACTTAATCAACCAGATTAATTATGGCATAATTTTAGAATGTTTATAAATTAATAAATATATCAGTGCCCTCTATAATCTACCAACCAGATCAAGAGACTGCACACCGACCGCATGATTTAATCCAACGTGGAACGTGGGCCCCACGTAAGCCAGTAGCTAATAAACCCGTTAAGGAATTCCAGCTCCTGTTTATTTTTCTCATTTTAAATGAATAATAATAATAATTGATTAGTTAGATTAAGAGGTAATCAATCATATGATGTAAATGATTTTTAAAGGGACCCATCAAATGAGTATGATGATAGGAAGCTGAATCAAGGGTCGGGATGGGTCCTATTCTCATAATTAATTTTTAATTTAAGAAAATCCAATATTAATTTTGTAAAAAAATTAATTTTTAATGGTTTGTAGTTATTATTATCTTTTTTTTTTTTCTTGAAAGCTAAGAATCAATCACTTACCATGTGAAACATAAACAAAAGAGGGGGAAAACTATGGTCCTACATTGTTCTATGCAAATTACAACCCACTCAAACTTTTATATATATATATATATATATATATTTTATGCTCATCTAATATCACAAAAGGGTCTTCTTATTATTATTTTTAAAAAAAAAAAAAATTTGATATCTTAAAATGATGAAAGTGATTATAAGTTATAAACTTGGAATTCAAGGTGTGTGTATATATATAAATATATATATGTGTGTGTGTATAACCCATATGAAAAAGTAACACATAATTTCCCATGATTGAAGATGTGTGTTACACACACATTACATAAACAAGAATGAGAAGGGACAATAATAAACAACTAAATTGAGTATATTCCAAGCATCCTTTGCATGAGCAAGCAAAGACAACATTAACCCATAAATTCAATTTAATAATTAATAATATGCTTTCAAATAATAATATTCAATAATTGAATTTTTTCACATCAAAGTTATAATTTTCTCCAAATAATTTTAAGAAAATATTTACCTACAATTTTAAAAACACATTTGAAATTTTTTTAATCAAACTATTACTGATAAAAATAAAAGAATTAAATTAATATTTAAAATATAATATATGTGTAAATTATTTATAGATTAGGAATCAAGAGGAGAAAGGTTTATTATTATTATTATTATTTTTCTTGCCTACTTATTTCAAGCCAACTACTATTGGAGGGATATTGGGAGATACAAAGAAAGAATTCCCAAAGGAGTCCAAAGAATCCTCCAATGAAAAAAAAGAAGAGAAAAAACATGGGACAACCACTCCA